GTCATGATCCATAAATTTTGTTATAATGGATATTATGTCATGGCAAATGTCATGAAAATTTGGCCATATTACAAATCTCCACGTTGGCCTAATTTCGGCTTATATGTAGTAAATTTGCTCCACCTTCTCTACAAAAACCCCAATGGGCAAAATCATTCTTCGTAAATGTCAATCAAGTTCAGGCAAAGGTTTTGTGAACATGTCAGCAGGATTGTCTCTAGTGTTGATCTTCTGAACAGAGACTTTTCTTCACCAATGGTTTCTCGGATGAAAAAATATTTTATATCAATGTGCTTCGTAATCTCATGATACATTTGATCTTTAGTCAAGTGAATGGCACTTTGACTATCACAGAAAATAGTAATACCACCTTGGTATAAAGTAATTTCGCAAATAGACCCTTCAACCATAAAGCTTCTTTGATCGCCTCGGTCACTGCCATATATTCTGCTTCGGTAGTAGATAAAACTACTACATGTTGTAATGTAGCTTTCCAACTAATAGCGCAACCACCGATGCAAAATACATAGCCTGTAAGTGATCTTCTTTTGTTAAAATCACTTGCATAATCTGAGTCTACAAAACCAACCAAAGTGTTAGTATTTCTCCCAAACTCCAAACATGTATTTGAAGTACCTCGCAAGTATCTGAGAATCCATTTCACAGCATGCCAATGTGATTTACCAGGGCAAGCCATATACCGGCTTACCATGCTTATTGTTTGTGAAATATTTGGACGTGTACAAACTATTATATACATAATACTGCCGACTGCACTGGAATAAGGAACTTGTGCCATGTACCTCTCTTCTTCCTCTGACTGCGGGGACTGAGCAGCTGATAACTTAAAATGAGTAGCAAGAGGGGTACTAACTGGTTTAGCATCTTTCATGCCAAACCTCTCCAAGACTTTCTTCAAGTACTTCTTCTGGGTCAGAAATAGCCTGTTGGCTTTTCGATCTCTTTTGATCTCCATGCCAAGGATTTTCTTAGCTGCTCCCAAATCTTTCATCTCAAATTCACTTTTCAACTGACTTTTTCAATTGTGAATTTCTGTTAAATCCTTAGCAGCAATGAGCATGTCATCAATATATAATAATAGGTACACAAATGAACCATTATTTAACTTCAGGAAGTAAACACAACTATCATACATGCTTCTCGAATAACCATGATTAAACATAAAGGAATCAAATCTTTTATACCATTGTCTTGGAGACTGCTTTAATCCGAACAAGAATTTCTTCAACAAGCAAATATGATCTTCTTTTCCTTCAATTTCAAATCCTTCGAGTTGATGCATGTATATTTGTTTCTCAAGTTCGTCATGTCAGAAAGCTGTCTTAACATCAAGTTATTCTAATGCCAAACCATACATGGCAACGAAGGCAAGCAAGACACGAATAGAGCTATGTTTAACAACAGATGAGAAAATATTATTAAAATCAACTCCTTATACCTAACTATAGCCCTTTGCAACTAATCGTGCCTTATACCTCGCATCTTCAACCCCTGAAATGCCATCTTTTTTCTTGAAGACCCATTTGCAACCAACAATTCGTTTTCTTGATGGCGGATTCATAAGAGACCAAGTACCATTCTTATGGAGAGACTCAATTTCTTCATTCATTGCAATCAGCCACTTGGCTAAGTCAGCACCAGAAACTGCTTTTGAATATTTTGATGGTTCTCTAATTTCTTCAGTTTCCTGTGCAACTGAAAAAGCAAATGTAACATAATCTCCAAACCTTAATGGTTGTTTATCTTCTCTTCTTGGTCTATGTTTGGCTATAGAATACTCCTCTTCTTCTGGTTCAACTTCAGGAGTCTCAACTTTAGGAATTTCAGCTTCTGTCTCAACTTCAGGAGTTTCAACTGTATTTTGCTCCAAAGTTGATGAGCTTGGCTCAGAAGGAATGCCAATCTCAATCTCTACCTGTTTCTGTGTACACTTTCCTTTATCTGTATCACAAGAACTAGAAGACTCTTTTCTAGAATGTAACATAGAAGATTCATCAAAGGTTACATCTCTGTTAATTATAAATTTTGGTGCCATGGGATCAGAATACCATAGTCGGTATCCTTTCACCCCAGATGCATACCCAAGGAAAATGCACTTTTTAGCCCTTGGCTCTAATTTTCCATCATTTACATGCATGTATGCAGGGCAACCAAATATCTTTAAATCAGAATAATTAGCAGGAGTACCTGACCACATTTNCAGGAGTACCTGATCACACTTCCTCTGGAGTCTTAAAGTTCAAAGGTACAGAAGGAGCTCGGTTGACAATATAAAAAGCTGTAGAGATAGCTTCTGCCCAAAAGGCGTTTGTCAACCCAGCATTTGAAATCATGCAGCGAGCTCTTTCCAAAAGAGTTCTATTCATCCTTTCTACCACACCATTTTGCCGAGGTGTTTCTCACAGTACGATGTCGAGCAATTTCTTCATTTTTGTAAAATTTGTTGAATTCATCATTACAAAATTCCAAGCCATTATCTTTTCTAAGCCGCTTAACCTGTTTTCCTGTTTGCTTCTCAATCAAAATTTTTCAATGTTTGAAATTTAAGAAAACATCACTTTTATTTTTCAGGAAATAAATCCAAACTTTTCTTGAATAATCATCAATGAAAGTTAACACATATCTGGCACCACCTTTTGATGGGGTACGTGAAAGACCCCAAAGATCTGAATGAATGTAATTGAAAGTACCTTTTGTTCTATGAATTGCTAGAGATTTGAAGCTGACTCTTTTATGCTTCCCGAACACACAGTGTTCACAGAACTCCATATTTTCGGTACTTTGGCCACATAAGAGACCTCTTTTGCTGAGGATGGAAAGACCTTTTTCACTCATTTGCCCCAATCGCATATGCCACAATTTAGTGATGTCAGAATCTGATTTATCTTATATTGAAACTGCAGCAGCACCTGTAATAGTAGATCCCAAAAGAGTATACAACATACCAGATCTGTTTGCTTTCATGATCATAAGAACACCATGAGAAATTTTTAGAACTCCACATTCACCTGTGTACTTGCACCCAAGAGATTCTAGAGTGCCCAAAGAGATGAGATTTTTCTTCAAGTCAGGAACATGTCTAACATCGGTGAGAGTTCTCACCACACCATCGTGCATTTTGATTCGGACTGTACCTTTTCCAATAACTTTACAGGCAGTATTGTTGCCCATCAAGACAACTCTACCTCCAATAGATTCATATGTGGTAAATAAATCCTGACTGGGACACATATGATAAGAACAACCCGAATCTAAAATTCACTCATCGTTAGATTTGAAACTATTATTAGTTGCTAAAAAAATAGTTTTCTCAGTCTCATCAACAACTACACTTGCTTCGACAGTGTCAGTATTTTATTGCTCATTTTTCTTTTCTGTATGCTTTTCTTTGTTTTTCAATTTAAAGCATTCAAAAATAATGTGACATTTCTTATGACAATATTTGCACATGATATTTCTGTATCTGGATTTTGACCTTGATTTAGGTTTCTCACTGCTTGAATCTTTCTTATTGGATCTACCTCTTATGAATAAGCCTTTCCCTTGGTTCCCACTAGTTTTTCCAGTAATATCTCTATCTATTTGTTCTTTTAATTTCAAAATAGATTTGATATCTTTATAAGAGATATTATCTTTTCCATAAAGCATAGTATCTCTTATATGTTTAAACGACTGGGGTAAGGAAATAAGCAATAACACAACTTGATCATCATCTTTGATTTCAGTATCTATATTACTTAAATCCATAAGAAGAGAATCAAAAGTATCAAGATGAGTAAGTATAGAGGTACCTTCAGCCATACGAAAAGTGTAGTGTTTTTGCTTTAGGTAAAGTCTATTTTCTACTGTTTTTTTCATATATAGGGTTTTAAGCTTTTTCCATATGCCTTTGGCTGAGCTTTCTGCTGCAACTTCACGCAAAACCTCATTTGAAAGATTTAAAATAATACTTGCTTTTGCCTTTTTGTCTATGATGGCAAACTCCTCGTCCGCCATTTTATCTGGCATTTTCTTCTTTCCTTGCAGTGCCAAATCTAAGCCATCTTGAATTAGGATAGCTTCCATCTTTAATTTCCACATTCCGAAGTTTGCACTTCGGTCAAATTTCTCAACATAAGACTTTGTTAGAGTCATTTTGGCTATTTAAACTAACCCGGTTAGATCTGGCTCTAATACCAATTTGTTAGGATCGGGAACCCGGGTAGTGCGAAATTTAGCCAAACAACGATATAATGACAATAACAAAGACAATGAAAATTGATAATAACAGCAATTAAAGAATATAAAGAAGACACAAATTTAACGTGGTTCGGTCAAGATGACCTACGTCTACAAACGGAGAGGAGCAATTTCACTATACCAACAAGAGTACAAAATTAGAGTTAATACTCTAATTAATCCCAAATACCCCAAGAGAATAACCTCACAAGATTACTCCAAAGAAAGGGTTCACACAAGTGTTTCCCAACAATCACTCTCTTACAAAATACTCTATAATGAAATAAAGGAGGAGAAAGAAAGACAATAGTGAAAAGCTCTTGAATTGGTGTGTTTGCAAATGAAGAGAAACTCCTCTATTTATAGCAAGAAATCTTTGGCCTAATAATGAATATTATGTCATGACAAATGTCATGATCCACAAATTTTGTTATAATTGATATTATATTATGGCAAATGTCATGAAAATTTAGCCATATTAGATAGAGAAATGACACAAATGGCACAGTTGAAAAACAATAATCATTTTGAGGTCATAGGAGCAATGTAATCCTTATAACAATATCAAATTACAGATGAAAAAAAGAAATAAGGATGAAGCCTACGGATTCGAACCCAGAATACAGAGATTGAAGAGCATTGGCAGGCTTTGTTCAACCAGTAGAGCCGCAAAAACCTTATGAACGCGTGTCCCATTTAACTTTTATAACACTTATTTGTTTTAAAACATTTCTAAATGCACGTGCGCAATATTTTCCGAGATGGCGAGTGCCAGGGCACCCAACCCGGGATGTAGGTCTACCTCTATACTTATCCCCTTCTTTTTTTCTCTAAGGGTTAGATAAGTTTGAGTTAGGAGAAAAGTAAAGAGAAGGACCGGTAAGAATCGAACCTTACACTTGTAAGATATTTATAAGATAACATCCCTAGCTATTACTCAAATACTTTTGCCTTCTTATTAACCAATTCCAAATGAAAGAGGCAGAGTCACATTAAATCACATTGGCGATGGGGCAAGACATATATATTGGAATCTAAGCACAAGATGATTTAATTAATAAACTGTAGTCTAGCTTGTAGCCTAATAGCATTCACTAATTCTCGATAATTTTCGCCAACAAAACTTCTCTACATTGAATCGCTTTAGAGAACACACAATAGTAGCACTAGCTAGCGACTAAATTTCTATCATGTGAAGTACAAATGATTTCACTTTCATCCACCAACTAACAAGCTAAGTTAAGAGGGATAAAACCAAAGATAGGTGGAGGGACTAGTTGTAAGTTGTAATCCTACATGCACATGGCTATGATTGGCCAAAAATGACCAAACAACCTATAATTGTGAACTTTATTCACTTCCAATTCATTCCTTATCTTCAATTTATAAAAATATCCATAGAACCAGAACTGACCACTAGTTAGGATGGCCTATCCTACAAGTTGAATTCTATAAATTCCCAAGTGAACCTAAAGCTGGTACATAAATATTTCTTCAAAATATTTGTACAAGCTAAGCTAGTTACTCAAAAAATGATAGTAGGTTCTAAGGCATTTTCTGTTTTTATTTTGTTGAATGTAATAGTGTTTTTCACTTGTGTTTCATCTCATAATGTACCATGCCCTCCAACTCCAAAGAGTAAGCCAGTGACTCCATCCCCAACAAAAGCCCCAGCTAAGTGCCCTAAAGATACACTAAAATTTGGTGTGTGTGGAGATTGGCTAGGGCTGATTCATGAGGTAATTGGGGCAAAACCAAGTAGTCAATGTTGTGCTCTTTTGGAAGGGATAGCAGATGTTGAAGCTGCTTTGTGCTTATGCACTGCCATTAAGGTCAATGCTTTGGGGGCCCTTAACCTCAAAATTCCCATTGCCATCAGTTTGGTTCTTAATTCTTGTGGAAAGAAAGTGCCTAAAGGCTTTAAATGTGCTTGACGGTTTAAAGTGGCGTACGCAGAATTTTGCGCAAGCACTCTACCCTATTTATTGTGACAATTCAGCTTGTAAATGGGTTCGAATCTAGCATCAATTATGTTGTTCTTGTGGCTTTACTTTCTGTCTTAAAATGTTATTTACTTGGTATTTTTTTTCCAAGCAATATCAGTCTAACGTATATATAAATCCTTTAAATTAAACATATGAAGAATGCTTTTCATGAAACGACGTCGGATAACTGATTCAGTTTCATTTGCGGAGCTTGGTATATCAACATAGTGGAGGTGCAGGGTGATTGTGTACAATATAATAGACCCTTGTGATACGACTCTTCCTCGAACCATGCGCATAGTGATAGCTTAGTGCACGGAACTGCTTTCTTTTTTTATCTTGGTTTCTCAACAGCTAGAAACAACAATTCATTAAAGAGAAGAGAAAGCCAGAGATAAACAAGGAAAATGTACTCTTACTGTGTAAAGGGAAAAAACAAAATACAAGCAAAACAGGTAAAATTATGTTGATATGTAAAAAGTTATTAACTGTTAGCACGTCGTATAAGTTAAAATTCTTATTCAGAACAAGTGCATAAGCAATCGATCGCTCTGCTTCTCCAACCCGCATAAGATGTTCTCCTTCGTCTTTTTATTCAAGATAATCAGAGTTATGAACTACTCTGACATGTGACAATATTTTGATGGCATTGACTTGAAATTGGTAGTGGAATAAGTGTCTGCACCATTGGCCTGGACATATCAGCAGAAAAAATTGCACCATTCCGCATAGAGCAAATTCAACAAGAACACACTTCACTGGTTAAAAACTATGCAACAATTCATGTTTAAGAGCGCATTCTGCCCGCTGTTAATCGAATTAACACACGAAAAGTGATGTCGATACAAATATACGAGAATGTTTGCTAAGGATATGCTCTCAACGTACAGTACTCTGTATTCAAAAAGTGACTCCTCATAAATATTGGAACATCCTTTACTTGTTCTTTGAGCTAAACACAGAATCTCTGCATATTCATGGCTAGCGATGGATTCAAGACATGAAAATATGTGATTCCTTCAACTCATAATTTTTTTCCTTAACTCTCATGCATGAATATGCAAATGTATACGCTAAAAACCGCAACGGGTTTCTCTGCATACGGATGTTGGAGGTTACATCAAGTTATATGGACCCTTCATTTATTTGCCTTAACATATTGTGTCGAACAAGTGTTGTAACAAACATGTAATAAGTTGTTATACGCACAGAAGAAATTGATCCAAACTGCAACTCTAAGGATCATATAGTACTAACAACTGATCCGTCCAAACTGGTAAGATGGTATAAACATGCTCTTTCTCACTTCAAGTTTAACCTGATGGGTGCAACAAAAGCAATCTATGCAGTGATGGTGGCTGAGGCGGAGCCAAAATTTAAACTTTATGGGTTTTGGATTTTAGAACGACTTTAAGTGTTAATAACTGGATTCTAAATATAATTTTGTACATATTTAATGAATTTTAAGACACGGTTGTTTTAACAAAAGCTATTGAATTCGCCGAACGCGTATATGGGGTTCTACCTCCGCCACTGACGGGTGGTAGAGACATTTTGAGAGGAGATAGGGATCAGCTTGTTATGGCATATGCACTTCATTTTGGGTGATGTTTAGTAATATGTATAGGGATCAGCTTGTTATGGCATATGCACTTCATTTTGGGTGATGTTTAGTAATATGTATAGGGATCAGCTTGTTATGGCATATGCACTTCATTTTGGGTGATGTATAGTAATATGTGGCTGAACCTCAGGCAATTTCTGATTCAATGGTCATAATACTAAAAGGCATGTTAAATGGTGATGTTTCAAAAACATGGCAAGTGTTAGACAAGAAATTGAGAAGATCAGATCACTAAATTAAAAAACCATCGTACTTTTGTTTTCCAGCATTGCTTCAGGGAATCAAACCGTAACAGACTACTTAGCTAGTCTTGTGGAGATCACTCTTTTGTACAAGAATGAATCTTTATTATTCTTCACTTCATTTTGAAGGCTAAGATTTATATCTTCCTTCACATATTCTTTTTTGATGATCCATACACGGGTAGAGATCTATGACCAACCCCCAAAATGGTAGATTTTAATGGAAAGAAAATCACTAAAGAGGTTTAAGAAGATCAATGTAAATCATGCATAATCCATTGACCTCAAAAGCCCTTAAATATGGAAGTATTTTATATATACTTCTGAATTAAATGTGTCAGCAGAATCTATATAGGATCAGCAGTTAGAATATTCCAACTGAAAGTGCATTACTATAATTGTATTAATTGTAACCTCCACTCCATATCTGTCATTCATGCATTACAATATATTCCAGTAGTAAAATATTTGACATATCAAGAATTGAAGAATATGTCACATTCTTTTTTTCCTTAGCAATTTATGAATAAATCCATCATGAACACCCCAAAAGAAAAAGGAAAGATAGAATAAAGGGCAAAGGGACGTATAATGATATCAATATGTCTAGGGCTGGGCAAATGATCAAATAATGTACACTATCGCTATTAATTCCTTAGTTTTTTCTTGGGTAAACTATGTGAAATTACTTTAAAATCATAGATAAGACTGTTAAAGCCTATAGTTTAAGGGTTCCAAAAACAAAATAAAAGAAATCAAGAAGGAGCTATTGGAGCATATATAGTTGAATAAGAGATAATTGAAGTCCTGCTCGAATTTTGCATTATAAGGAGAATATACATTACATAGAACATAGTCTGCATGCAAAGTGGTACTCTAATTAATATGGAATAGTTATAAAAGTTCAGGGGGACAATTATATATCAGCCATCAAATTGTATAAAGAGAACCCAAGAACTTGAAAAGGCTGTCAAGTTAATACTCATCTGGTTTTCAGATAAAACTTCCTCCAAAATGCATACTCATATGTTAGACTCAGAAAATGTTGATCATCCACTCAATTAATTGTGAACAGGAGGGTGAGTTCTTGCTGGTAAATAATCCAAGTTAAACTCAGGTGGTGGATCTTCCCTTTTTTGATGATGAACCCTCCAAGAAACTGAAACACCATAACTTTTACTACTACTTATACTGCCTTTCAGTTGATCTTTTTCATTTTCCTTGACACTACTTTTTGGCTCTGCTGTTAAGGGTTTTGCTTTTACATCCGATGGAGTATTGAAAACCCTAGCAACACTTGATTTCTCCTCATTCTGCAAGAAAATTTTTAAAAAAATAAAAAAACCTGAGTAACAATTTTATTTTCAACTTTGTCAAGATATAAATGATACGCAAATGTCTTAGAGAATAATCATCTATGTCCACAAAGGGACATAGACAGTGAAAATTCATATATCGAAACTCATCTTCTTCGCGATTGACGTGTAGTTGTTGTTGTTATCGTTATTAATGCATATGTCTTAGAGAAGAAAGTTAAAAAGATTATGAAAATAGATAGAAATAAAACAAACCTTGTTCAGGACACCAAGTGAGCGAGCATTACATGCATGGAATAGAAGGAAAATTATGAGGAAAATGACTTTGGTAATTGACATTTGAAAGGAATGTATGAACTTTAATTTCCCGTCAGCTCTTAATATTTGAAAGACTGATTCAAAGAAGATGAAAATTGTTGTTGGCTGGATCTGAATGAAGATTGTGTACTAATATAAATACTTTAAGCAAGACAAATGAGCATTAAATGCTGATTTTGGAAGAAATTAAAGGGATTTGATAGCAGAACATGCAAATGTAAGGGAGATAGGAGTAAGATGGCAAAATAAAGATATGGGTGGCCTCTAATATGTCTCTTTCATATATCTATCAATTGGGATCCAAAGACATAAAACCTCCCACTAAAGGAAAGGAAACAAAAGTCAGAACCTTGAGCTAAGAATTTATACTATATATATCAAGGAAGAAATAGAGTCAAAAGAGAGATTTTATATTTCATTGAATTGTATAAAAGAAATGTAAGTAATAATAAATAAAGATTTAATTAAGGAAAGTAAATACTCCTAAAGAAAGAGATCGATGAGCTAGAAAGTTGAGAAAACTAAAGATACAAGAAAGCAAGAGCCTGTCCAATTTGTATCCACCGAGGTAAATTCATTGGCCTTGTCCTCGTGTGAAGTTAAAACTACGGTTTTGTGATTCTTTTACATGGTTAATGGCTCCTGGTTTCTCGCTTGGTTCCACCATCTTTTACCTTGAAAATCTTACCAAATATTATTCTACTATTTAAAAGGTTAATGGCCAAAAGTAAGAAACCTTTTTAGATTGATGATAGTCAACCATCATGCATGTTAACCAATATCGCCTTTATACAAATATGTGTCACCAAGTTCATGCCTTAGAAAGGATGTTAGAATATTGATCGAGATGTATTTTGTGACATCAATATTTTAGCAGGACAACAATTCTACTTAGGTATATAAATAGATTCACAATTTGAAGTTTATTAATTTTTACACCGATTTCAAGTTAATATACTATAATAATTGAGTTTAACGGTCAAATATCTTTAGATATTTATTAGATTATTAAGTATATATATAAGGTCTGAACAAAAGTTATTGAGTCATCATATATAT